TAGTGTATTAGAATAGGCCTATACAGTACATCATTAGGCCTATTCTAATACACTATTCAGATAGGCTTTTCTTTTTCCATCTTTATTTCAGAGGTCAAAACAAATTTTTTACAGTGGTGTAAAATAGTCTTTACACTACACATGACTAAGCTTACTGCGACTATTCCAGGGAAAGCCAAATGTTCATTGCAGCTGCCATGTGCATAGCTCGTGGCAATTTTGTGATATCGTGCGTACAAAAAATGGGGAGAAATGTAGAATAAGAAAAAAATAAAAAGATGTCTGACAATAACAAGAGTGGTAACCTTATTTCACTGTGCGTACCTGTCGGTTTCTTTACTGATTGACATGTATTAACTGGTATTATTACAGCTTTTCCAAATCTTGTTATCTCTTGGTTTTTAGTAAGAGTTCATCTTGTATGCAAAGCCAAATGGACATCAAACTATGTTTTCTATGATTCAGCTCTGTAATAATACTAAATTATTTCATCATCATTGCATTGTGAAAAAAATAATAAAGCTATTTGTATTTATATTTAATTTTGATTGACCTAAGCTGATCATTGCGGCCAACATTTTAATGAGACCAACAATTTGAATTATCAATCATTTGGTGAAGCAAAAATTCTGTCTGACTTAAACCTGACCATATATTTTTTCTCTTAAAATAGAAATGAAAAAATATCAATAGACTCATCCCCTAAAATGCTGAAAGGATATTCAAAACAATTCTTAAATACCCTTTTGTCAAGGAACCTTTATGGTTAATGCATTTTGGACATATCCTTTATACTCTGTAGTATTTCATAACTGGATCTGGGATCTACAGTATCGTTCATGGTCTTACATAAGCATAATCTATCTCAAAAACTGAATAATTTTAATTTTTTTGTAGTACCTATTATATGATCCTTACAGCATTCAACTCTGAAACCAGCTCCACATTTATTCCACAAACCAGTTTATCACATGGCAAGTGTTAGCTCCAGGAAATCCAGATATGATTTTAGGCATTTCAGTTCCTTGGCTCATGTCCTACATATTGTCTTAGTTTAATTTTTTTTTTTCTGGCCGGGTATTTGAACACATGATGGAGTCAATTGTAAAATTGTTATGTTCAACTGCTTCTCATTGACTATGTTTCCATTGAAGTTGTTCATTCATAAATGGCTCCCAACATTTTTTTTTATGTCCTCCACATTATATATCATCTCATTCATCATTTATTTTGCAATAAACTACCCTTTAAATTCTTTAACCCACCCTTATTTTGTTGTTAGTTATGATCTCTTGATCTTCAGGAAAATGTTTCATCTTGTATGCTACTGTATGATTTGTAAAGCCAAATATTATTAATATCAACAATGTATTACTGTATCAATACAAAATAATTTCATTTTCACTTCATTTTTGAAATTTATAATTTTATTAGTAGTATACATGTTCATATTCTTATTTGATTGGCTTTGCTTGCTGCTGTTTTAATGAGATAAAAATAGGATATGAATTACCAATCATATGATGAAAAAAGCTGTCTATCCACATATTTTTGTTTTAAATATCAATTTCAAAAGGTCAAGCTGACGTAATAACTTCTGAAGACCCTGATGTTGGATTATTTGGTGAGTTTTTATTTTCAATTAGCTTGGTTGATACATTTTGAGAATATTATATTTGGCAATATCAAACGGATTGACATCTATTTATTTAATTGGTATTTGTGGAGGTGTATTTTTCCCGAAACTTGTTATCTCTTGATTTTCAGAAGAGTTTATCTTCTATATATAAATTTAAACACTGTAACAATGCAAAGTAATTTCATTGTCACTGTATTGTGGGAATAATGATAGAAAATTATCTTTTATACAGTATTCATATTTTTATTTGATTGGGCTTTGCATGCTGCTGTACCAATCCCAGGGTCCTGGATTCAATTCCTGAAACAATAACAGAGATTTTTCTCACAAATAAAACACTCCCCTCCCTAGCTTCACAATAAGACTTAGTTTATGCAGAGCATCTTGTCTTGTTTGTCTTGTGAAGGGATATACAGTATGCAGTTTAGAAAAGAGTTTATATTAAGTTTGCTGTTTGACCTTCAGTCTAAACTAATTTAATAAAAATTAGTGTTTTAATGAGGCATGATATGAATTAACAATCATTTGATGAAAAAAAAGGATTGATAATTGTGTCACTCTTTCAAAGAACGATCTAAGTTAATTCCTAGATATAATTCTAAAATCAATGAAGTTGGATTATATGGTGAATTTACTACAGTATGTTTTAATTTCAATGAACTTAGTTAATACATTTTTTTATACATGAGTTTTGGAAATAGTAAACTGAGGTTTTTCCTAAACATATTATTTCTTGATTGTTAGAAGAGTTTATCCCGTATATGAAGCCAAATAAATTTGATTATATAAACTGTTATTTTTCTATGATTCAGTACTGTACAAAATAATTTCATTGACACTGCATTGTGGAAATAGTGATAATATTCAACTGATAAAAATTGGTTTTTTTCCGAAACATATTATCTTTTGATATGTAGAAAAGTTTATCTTGTATATAAAGCCAAAAAAAATCAAATTATATCCAATTATTATTTTTCGATGATTCAATACTGTAGCAATACAAAATAATTTCATTGTCACAACACATGTGGAAGTATTCTTATTTGATTTGCATTTGTTTGCTGTTGTTCCATTGTAATAATGATATGACAAATATGAAGTACTAATTATTTGATGAAAAAAGCTGTCTAACTTGCAACAACTTTACCACATTTGTAATTAGAGAAAAGAAGTTTACCAACATTGTCATTCTCTGAACCTTTTAAAGAAAAATCTAAAGTAATTCCTAAGTATCCTCCTGAACAACTTAATGTTGGACTATCTGGTGAGTTTACTTACGTTTTCTTTTTTCCATCTTGGGTAATACATTTTGCTACACTATTTTAAACCAATTGTCATGTATTAACTGGTATTATTATTATTATTTTTGTTTTACCAAAACTTGCTATTTCTTGAATTTTAGAAGAATTTAGCCTGTATAAAGCAAAATGAAAATCAAACTAACTGTACGTTTTTATGATTCAGCTCTGTAATAATACAAATATTTTCATCATCACTGCGAGCTTTTTATATTAATATTTATTTTTGATTGGCCTTGCTGGCCATTCTGTCAACATTTTAAAATGAGACCAACAATTTTAATTAGGAATCATTTGGTGAAACAAAATGCTGTCTGACTTTAACATGACCATATATTTTTCTCTTAAAATAGAAATGAACAAATTATCTATAGACTCATTATCTAAAATGCTGAAAGGATATCCTTTTGTTGAGTTTAGTTTTTTTTTTTTTTTCATTTAACTTGTTTGATATATTTTTTTTTTTTTCATTTAACTTGGTTGATATATTTTGAACATATTACTGTATTTTCACCTAAATGGTCTTAAATTGGTTGATGTTTTAATATATTTGTATAGTGGGAGATTCATTTGGAAACAAGGAATGGAATACTGTAGTTGCTGTGATACAATAAAAAAAATAATTGTCACTTAATTCAGGTTGAATGACATTTTGAATTTGACATTTTGGACCACTCAGATAGAGTTCCCCTTTCCCTTATAAGTTTTTGCCCTAGTGTAATATATATCCCCTCATTTCATGGAAAAGTGTCCCCTTAATAATTTAAGGTAGGTTCTATAATGAAACAAAAATGAAAGTTACTGGTAGTATGAATCAAAATCATTTTAATATTTCGGATGGTAACAATTACTTTTGTAGTGAGTAATCAATTAACTTTAATTCTGATGTACACAAATTGAAAGTTTGTATATATATTTTTTTCATAGAAAAGCATGATGAGCTTCCTAAACTAGAAGAATCAAAACCAACACTTGAAGAGAAGAAAGTACCATCATATGAAATACCAGTTATTGAAATCCAGCCACCTGTTGAAATATCAGCCAGTGTGATTCAATTTGTACCAAAGAAGCCACTTGTCACTGAAGAATTTGTCCAATCTGAATTCCATTTTCAAGTAAATCTAACTCATTCATTTTGCACAATGCCAAAGTGATAAAACAAGTACAGTACTGTAAATGTTTTTCAACAACTGAAGAAGAGATACATTATAACTTCAAAATAGTAACAGATTATATGATTAATTTTATTATTTTACAGACCATATGCTAATATTTTTGGACTTATCAGACACAAACAATTAAACACGTTATTCTTTCAATTGAAGCACAATTGAATTTTCATAGTAGTAGTCATCAAAACTGTTTTTTGCTGAGCTTGTAAATGAGTCTTACTAGCAAGAAGTTGTAAGGCGATGACTACAGACTGCATAGTCATAATGATATTATTGATACTGTATTGCTAATAAAAGGAAGAGAGCAATAAATTTACATAAAATATGTTTATTACATAAAAGGTAGAAAGGATGAAAGATGATACAATATACCTACAGTATTTTTTTAATATTTTACTTTCAATTTCCCTTTTATGAATTTTAAAAATTTAATTAATGAAATAAGCATAACATTATATTTATTAATATTAATTGAAAGTTTGTTTACATAATAAGATAACATTATTACTACAGAAATATTAATATTATTGATAATATTGATAAACAAAAATGCCTTCTTCTGTATTGCATTCATAATTTTGTTTAATAATAAGATCTGCTAAACAAAAGAAGTGGAATAATTTACAAATTGCTTTATACAGAACATATCATATAATAGATATTTATTTTGAAAATCTTGGAAAAACAGATAGAGTATAACTAAGGTGAACTAAACATAAAATACAAAATATTTTGGATAAAAATTAAAAATCTCTAGGTGTAAAGACATAGTTGAGGCATTCTATCACCAACCTACAGAATTAACAGACATACAGGACAATCTTTTCAAACATCACTTGCCAAGATAAAACTACATAGCAGAGGAATTATTTACTTTGCCAATTTAGTTCAGTTTATTTCACATCATCAAAATATTCACAAAACAAATAAAATCGCACATGGCAGGACAAACAAGTAGCAACAAAATATGATGGAGGAGTAAAAATTATTTCCAATGGGGTCCTACTTTAACTTGTCAAATATTAAGTTGGAAACTTTATTTGGGCTGTAATATCCAACCAATCCTGGCAGAGTATCAAAGCATGCTATGATGTTTTTTTTTAATTTTTTATGTAAAAGGTTAAAGAAACCCCAATATCAGAGGTCTCTGAACTGTCAATAATCCCAGAAGTAGAAGAATGTGCTCCATACTTCACTAAGGAACTTGAAACAAAGTCAATTGCTGTAGATGGAGAATCTACAGCAATTCTTCAGTGTGCAGTTGCTGGCATACCTAGACCCCAGGTAACACCTCTTTATAGTGTGATAATTTTATTATCACATAGGGATTGTAGGTGGATAGGAAAAGGTAGGAAAACGACCAATAATTCACAGCATCATTTGTTTCTTTTGTTTTTATTTCATACTCAATAGCAGCACAATGAAAATCATATAACAATAAAAGCAACATTGTTCTAAATTGCGTGGTCCATGAATACTTTAGCAGACTTTTTCACATCGTTTCCCGATGATAGTTTCTGAAACGAACCAGCCTGAGCTTCAGGGTAAGCCCTACTCTTCCAAAAAATGAAATTTGTTCTTTTAATTGCTTACAAGCCATGTGTGTGCATTGGATTGCTGTTCTTATCCGAGATCACTTGGTTCTATAAACTGAACCTTAGGGGAGGAGGGCCTTGAACAAGCACCAATGTCAAGACTGTAATAAGCAGTGCACTGCTTCTCAGCTAAGCACTTGACATTCCCCAAAGGTCTATTTTAGGCCCATTGTTATTTATTATCTATGTTAATTCCCTACCAAATGTCACTCAATGTAAATGTGTAATGTATGCAGACAATTAATACTACCATTTTATGCAATTCTTCCGATCCCACTGCTCTCCAAAATGCACTAAATTCAATTTTAATCAAAAGTGCTGAATTGTTTGATAAAAATCAACTTGCATTAAACTTATAATCTTTGGAACTGGCATAACTATTGACAGAGTTGATTCATTCAAATATCTTGGAGTTGTGTTTGATTTAAATTAACATGGTCTGAACATGTATTGGTGTTATTCACTGTGTTAAATATTTTTTACCCCATAATACTGTTAAGTTGTTGGCTAATGCTCTGGTTATGCCTCTTTTTGAATACTGTAATTGTGTTTGGTCCAACTGTAATATTAAACTTTCAAAATCTCTTCAAAAACTTTTAAACAGATTAGGAAGAATTTTATTTTCTGCAGATATAAAAACCCCAGTTGTAAATATTTTAAGTTCTTTAGGGTGGAGCAAACTTAATAAATGGGATGAACAGTTGCTCATAATGATTTTCAAATGCTTAAATGGTCATGCTTCATCATACTTTATCTAAAAATTTTGCTTTTAATTATGGTTTACATTGTGCTCGCAATCAATAGTAAAAATACACTTATTGTATATACTATACCTGGAATAATATGCAAGGTAAAAAAACCTTTTTGTGTACTGATCTACTAAATTGTAGAATAAACTCTCTGATTATGCTAAAACCAGCTTTAAGTTTATGACACTTTCAATTTTTAAGCATTCTATTTCAGATCCTCAAAATACCATCTTAATTTAACTACATTTTCTTTAACCCTTGCATATCTATATATATTATTTAAATATTATTGTTTTCTTAAGTTTCATTAAATGTTCCTTTTAATGTTATTTTTATAACTTTGTAGTTAATTTTAGCTTCCTTGTTTTTTTGTTTCAGTGTGTATATATATCTTCTTTTTAAAATTTTGTAGTTAAGAACTGAACCACTTTTGGAAAGCAGTACTATGTATTGAAAGTGTGTATTTAGTATAAAGAAAGAAGAGATAAATAAATAAACAGTTTGTTTATTTATTATTATCATCACTGTCTTTAATTAATCAATAAAATTAGTTATGAAAGTTAAACTTTTTCTCCCAACACAAATCTGAACACCAACACAAATGAGCTTTTATTCTAATTTTTAATTATTAACTTGTACACAGTTGCATCATAACTGTCATCATTTACAATCACCATTGTCATTTTAATTTTATTATTAATACAATATCAAGGGATCCAGAGATGTCAGAAAGTGGGGCCGATCGAGACAACACTAGTCTAAATTTTAGTTTTCTAGGCTCCCGAAAATAGCCTCTGAGACGTTTTAGGCAATCATTATTTCTTTTTCTTTCTTTTTTCTTTTTTCTTTTTTCATTTTTTTTTTTTTTTTTTTTGCCTGCCCAGCCCCCTCCCAAATCTGCCCCTGAATATTATACTTACTGTAGTGTAATAATTGCATTCACAAATGTAATTCATGTTTGGATTTCCACTACAGGTTACATGGTATGTTGATAACATTGAGATTATTGATGTGACAGAATATATTGTCAAACATACAGAGGAAGGCATTTGTGAATTACACATTCAGGAGTGTATGCCAGAAGATGAAGGTTATTACACATGCAAAGCAGTTAACCATCTGGGTGAAGTTACATGTACAGCACAGCTCCTGGTTGAAGGTAAGTTCTTATCATTCCTCCCATGAATCGTACGTTCCTTCAATTTTGACATACGGATAAGAAATAATTCCTTTTTTTATTTTTATTTCATTTATTCATCTTGAAAAAACAAATAACAACAAACAAGAATAACTGAGATATGATTTCCAACAGTGAACTGAATCAAACTATAAAAAGGGTCACCTTAAAACACATAAAACCCAAACAATTGCCAAGAATACAAAATGGCACATAATCCTGATATTAATAATAATAATTATAATAATAATAGTAATAATAATAAAAATTATAATAATTTAAAAAAATATATAATAATAATATAATAATAACAACATTGCATGGATATTGAAAAATGCAAACAAAAGCAAGCATTATAAAATTGCAGTTACATTAATTTCTTCAAAAATTTTAAATTGTAAAATTCAGTAGTGATTATCAACATTATAAATGTGTTCAAAAAATTGATTGATTCTGTTGCTCAGTATTAAATATACAGAGCAACACAGTCAATGTCCAATTGGTTTGAAAGAGAATGTAAAAAAATTGTCTTTAAAATATTTCTTCAAACATTGTAAGAATGATCTTAAGCTAAGAGGAAGATTATTTCTGTGTTCCTGGGGCAACCAATTTAATATGAGTCTGTGAAGCCCAGATATAATTGCTTGGAAACTATGTATAGATTGTCTCCCTCATAGACTAATATTAATTTGGTGAACTTTATCTTTACATATTAACTATCATCCACCTCACATTTTATTTTTTATACTGTCATGGTTGTATTTCTTCTCTTCAAATTAATTCCTGTTACTGTACGTACGTTTAACAAATTATAATTAAATAATACAAATTTCTTCTACACCAGTCGTATGTATACAAATTTATTTTAACTTTAATCATTGAGATTCTAAAATGTTTGCAATACAAATTACTCAATCGACAGTGGAGGTCCCGATACTGGCCCGAGGTCTCAGTTACTGAAAAGAGAAGCAATGAGAAGGGTATTCTCCCGCTTCCATTGACCCGCTGAATACACGATTGTCTGATATTTAAAACCAGGTATGCAGAAATTCTAAGCAGCTGAAAGTATGATGAAAGAGGCTTGAGTAGTTTAGGTTAGGACTTATCCTAGATACCAAAGTAGGCCATAAATTGAAAAACTAACAAAATAACTTAGCTATTCTAGTGAACTGTAGTCCACTTGGAAAATTCATTTCGGTATAGAAGATTGTGGCTAAGAAATGCTAAATAAAATGGATGAAAGGTAGAATAATTTTTTTTTTTTAGTTTTATATTTTTAGCTAGGGTATGCACTGCGTACCTTGACTTCCAGTCCGGCATCCAGGATTTGACACACCTCCTAATCTAGGGCTTCAAGGGCTTAGCCAGTGAGCGTCCGACTGTCTTTTTGACGGCCAACAATTATTTAGGATGGCCACTTTTACCGTGATTGTTTGGCCCACTCAGCTCGGCCTAGCCTAGTTAGGCCTGGTCAACCTTTAGCAAATTTTTTATATTCTTCGAATCTATCAAATTTTGCATTTAACTAAAGCATATTTACTTTTGATAAACAACCTTTATTTATGGAACTTACGTTGTTTTCATACCAACATTCAGTGGGGATTCCCAAAAAAGTAAGGCTAAACCATTGTCTACCCGGTTAAAATTTCACTTACAACATGTGTATGTCATTTTAAAAACATAATTATACCCCGCTGGAAAATGGACGGTTTTAAGACGCCCACAGCGCATGCACATGGTTCTGCAAATACAGTGCTTGAGATTCGGTTACCCGAGATATCGTTCGTAACTCCCTGGTAATAATTAATTTATAAAATACTGTAAAGCAGATTTGTTTTTAACATCACAAGTTAAATTTTAATAGTCAAAAAAATACAGTAGCCCTAGGCCTATACATCTCTCGATTCAGAGGACCTGGAGTAGAATTTTCACTAGACTAGGACAAGAGATGAAGATGCACCTGCATAGCCTAGAAATATATTGCAAGTAAACCGTAGCCGTGGGCAGTCTATGTCTATAACTGAAATGATCTTTGTGAAAGCTAATTCAACACTATTCTTTTGAAGACCTTTAAATGCGCTCTAAAGGTCATATTTTTCTATTTTTTTCCTTACGTAAGGAGGGGGAAACTTCCTCCCAAACCCACCCCCGCTCTGGCCAACACCACTCGACTGTTGATACGCGACAAGTTCTTCGTCTTCCATTTTGGATGGCCTATTTTGTTTTTCTGGCTAAACCTTAGGCTGGGTGGGCCCTTGGGGCTGTTATAGACATGGGAGGGTTTCAGGGGTTTTATATGAAATCCCTCTTGAGGAATCCATGCTTGAAGTCGATACTAATTTCTTATTTGTCTTTTAGAATGCATAGCAAAATTATATTTTTCTTTACTTTTAAAAATTCTATTTGGTATACAGTTGGGGACCTAAGACACTATGTGGCAGAGATAGTAAAAGAAAACAAATATGAAAACAAATATTCCATTAATTCAAGTTCTTTTGGATCAAGTTTTTTTAAATCAAGTCAAGGTGAGTTTTTAAATATTTTTTTAAAGGTACAAAGACATAATAGGCACGTTTGGATGAGTTAGAAGTAAGCCTTGAAGTAGCAGTTTACTTTTCGTAAACAAAGGTAGTGCCCATGAAGATGCTCTTTGTATTAAGTTACTTCAATGTTACTACAGATGATTTTATTCCTGAGCAGTGTCAGTGTGCTACTTCCGCGTACACAAGGAGGAATATGCGCTCAAACACCGTGTAAAGGCACTTACTTCAGATCTGGCAAGCAAATATGACATTTATTATGACCTTAATTTTTTTTTTTTCAAAAGATATTATACCTGCAGATGAGTGCTAAAATAACATTTCATGTGATGTGTAGATGTTTTCATAATTAACTTGCGAAATAACCATTGAGAGAAAGTGTTGATTATCACTTCCGGAAAAAAATTGCATAGTTACTTCTAAGCTTTGAAGTTAAAAGAACATTATGCCCTGGGTAAGCATCGTGTGGACATGTCTGTCGTAACTTTACTTGAGACGGAAAGCCGTCTGAACTTAACTTATAGCATGCTGTAAATTGAAAAAAGAGCAAATTGTCTTCTGGCCTTAATGACCAATTCAGTACCTGTCATTTGTGTATGTGTTTTTGTTGTGTTGTGTGAATGTTCTTTACAATTTGAGTGTTAATTCTATTAGCAATCATTGGCTTTTTACATCAACAATTATTTAATGTTGATTTATTCAGTTATGGCCAGTTTCTTTAGCCAAGTTTTGTGCTGGACAGTTATTAATAAATCAAACTTAAGTCAAATTTAAGCTGTTTTTTCATTAAAGCAAACTTGAGTCTACCTCCTAGATCTCAGCCCCAAAACACAGTTCAAAAAGGACCTTGAATTTCAAAACTTGGACTCTGAGATATCAGAAAAAAAGAATATCGATTGAAATGTGTGAATTATCTGATTTTCTGACAAGTCGATCAAGCATACCGAAAAGGGCAAAAATGTTCCATTTCCAAAAGTTTGATGATGATAGGCCTAAAATCTAGTTAATTTTATTTGGCCCTTTCTCGTGGCTTTCATAAAGTTTATTTCTTGGACTTGTACTGTGTGTATGCCCTAACCACAGGGTTTTCCATTATATTTTCATTTCATGCTATCATTCTAGAATCATCTCATTTACATACTTGTTGTCAGTGTGAAGGAAGATGTGCTGCCCTGGACTCTATATATTTCAGACCTGTTGTATCATGGAGCTATAATTATATCTTTATAAAAACTTGTGTTTAAATCTTTATAAAAATATACTAACTATGGTTTTTATACTGTCCTAATATAGTATTATTAACACAATATTAAAAGGAAAAATGGACTGTTTAGTCATTAGTTAACTACAGTGTATATTATTTGTTCTTCCAAAAAGGAAATTTTTCATTTGGCAGTAAATTATTTTGTGCTGTAAGGCTGTTGCCTTTGTATTTCAAATAAATTGCTATTATATAATGAATTGAAACTTGCAACTTGTAATACAGCTTGTATTTTTACTGTACTCCAAAACAAGCTATTTTTAGCTCCAATGAGTAGCTCTAGGAGTGACCCTGCTGATTGTATGCTTTTTTGTTGATTCGCTGTGTTTTTTTGCTGATTGACTGTGTTATTTTGTTAATTGGCAGCGTTTTTTTGCTGATTGGCTGTGTTTTTTTCACGGCTGAGTGGGTTTCATCAAGGACTGTACATTACTGCCATTACCACTTTTATGCACGTCGTATGGATGGCGTGGTCAGTTTAACCATGCCATCAATGCGATGGTTCTAAGGAACCAAAGGCCCAAGGCTGTGAGTTCAAATCGCGTTTTGTATACAATTGTTTTTTTTAATTTTTGTTAAGACATTTTAAATTTGTACAAATTATTTAATCCAATTATTTGAAAAATTCTTGCTTATTACGAGGAGCTCTAGAAGCACTCGGCTGATTGATTAATAAATTATTAGATCTTTTTTTTTGTGAAGAGCACCACCAATGTCAATGACTGTAGATACTGCCATTACCACGAATAGGGCACATCGTATAGATGGCACGGTCGGTTAACAATGTGTTCTATTGAACCAAATGTCATGAGGTCAAATCGCGTCTTGGCACTCAATTTTTTTTTTCCCAATTTTAAGACTTTTTTTTCAATTTAAAGACATTTATTTTAAATTTGTCTTAATATTTCTATCTTATTAGCTCTTTTAATCTTTTTTGTCAATCAGCTCTCAAATATCTTAGAAAGTTCATTTATACAAAAAAAAAAATTAAACACCGAGGCGCGATTCAAACTCACGATCTTCATTTCCTTACAACACAGCGTTAACCGACCGTGCCATTTATACTTGTCCTGATTGTGGTAGTAATTAATGGAAATTATGAACTCTTTCCGAAAACCCAATATTATATTAATAACTTAGGCACTGTGTACAGTATTTAAGCATAGAGGATATTTCCTCCATGATTTAAGCATGTTTTAAAATACTCTCCTGCCTCTATATGCTGCCGTCATCAGAGCTTTTGAGAACTTGTTTTAATATTTAAATTCCATGTACCAGCGTTTTAATAAATATCTCACCCACTCCTGGAAGCAGCAATGGCACTAGTGGGAGTGCATTTAAGTTTTTTTGAATAGTAAATTGGTTCTCTTTTCAGGTATGGATGACAGTTGGTCATCAATCTCACAAAAGCTGCCAAGTGAAGGTGCTATCAAATATGAAAGTCACATCGAAGACATATGCAACTCACTAAGGATGTTTAGTCAGGTCATGATCCCCCATCAAATGATAAACTCAGATAAGCAGATCATTCAACTTATGAGTAAAAGCATTAGTTGGAGAAACAAAGAGCATCTAATATTTGAATTAAATGATCAATCACCTGAAGACCTTGGCAAAATATTTGCTCATGTTTTAATTGCTGTACATGATAAACAGGATGTTTTAGAGGAAATCCATGAATTATGTACTGATGATATAGTCAGTAGTTTATCAGCTGAATGTAAGAAATTAAACTTCAGATACAATATTACAGAATACTCCTATAGCAAATCTATTAATGTATCATTTTTAATTCATCTGCTATGTAATGCACCAACACTTCAGACACTTAATGTACCAACATGTAATATAAGAGGTGTTACTCTGAAGAAGATTTTTGATGCATTGTATGAGGAAGGAGTTGTGTTAGAATTAAGATATTTTGATATCAGTAATAATATCCTCAATTACATCAAAGGTTCCTCACTTGCCACTTTGCTTGCTGTAGCTCCTAAGCTGAATGATCTTGACATGAGAAATTGCAGTCTGTCAGGGGCTGTTATGGATGATATGGTTAAGGAGTGTTCTAGTTGGGGAGTAGTGTTGGAATTAACATGTCTTACTCTCAGTGAAAATAACCTCAAAGACATCAAAGGTTCTTCGCTTGCCATGTTGCTTTGCATTGTAGCTCCTAAGCTGAATGCTCTTTACTTGAGCAATTGCAGTCTGTCAGGTGCTGTTATGGATGATATGGTTAAAGAGTGTTCTATTAGGGGTGTAGTGTTGGAATTAATATGTCTTAATATAAGTGAAAATAACCTCAAAGACATTAAAGGCTCTTCACTTTTCATGTTGCTTGATATAGCTCCTAAGCTGGATTATCTTTATGTGAGTGATTGCAGTTTGGCAGGTGTGGATGATATGGTTAAAGAGTGTTCTAGTAGGGAAGTTGTGTTGGAACTTTAAGCTAAATAAAATATTGTTAGTTTCACTACAGGATATGAAATTTACTATTTGTTATTTACAATCCTCTATACTATTGGTAAACAGGCAAATAATATATATATATTTTTCTTTATTATAAAAGAAGTAAAATTAATTTTTGTAATGTACTCTGCCATTTATATTTCCACCTTAGTTTTTGACAATTTTTCAGTTTGTCATTGTTTTCATTTTCCATTAAAAAATTATTTTTTATTTTTTTTAATAGCAATTAATAATTTTTTTTTCGTGGCTCCAAAATTTAATGAGGACGGAAACATGATCTGTATTATTAAACTGAGAAGTCTTAACATGAACAATTGTAGTCTACCCTGTAATATTGTGGAAAATTAATTAAATAAGTATGTACTGTTTTTTTATTTCTTCTAATATTTTATCTTTTTAGAATGAGTAATTACAATCAGGTAGAATGTTTTGCAGAGGAGTTTGATATGTATCTAATTCTTTGTTGTATAATTGTTGTTGATCTGCTTATGACAGGCTCGCAAAAACTGATAAAGAAAAAGCTATTATTTTCAATTCCTTTTTTCATTCTGTTTTTCAAAAAGATGTTTTTCCAATTACTGAGCCTTCCCTGAAGCTTCTCTTGGTTTCCTGGCGTTACCAGTCATACAGCCTGAGTCTGTTTATAAACTTCTAACGTCGCTTAAAATTCATAAAGCAATTGGCTGTGATGAACTCAGTAACCATGTTTTAAAGGTGTGTGCCAGGCCTTTATCAATTCCTATCTGTCATATCTTTAATAAATCATTGACTACAGGTAAGTTTCCTTTTGTTTGGAAACAATCGAACATTGTTCCTATTCACAAATCCGGTACTAAGAAGTCCATGACTAATTATAGACCCATCTCGCTGCTGCCTACCATCTCTAAGTTGTTTGAAAAAATTATGTTTACTCATATTTGGTCTCATGTCTCTCCTGCCATTTCCCCTTGTCAACATGGTTTCGTTCCCGGTAGGTCATGTGAGGCAAACTTAGCTTGTCTCCTGACTACTGTGTATGACTCCATTAATGACAAGAGGCAATGCGATATTATTTATACCGATTTTTCAAAAGCTTTTGATTTAGTTCCCACAATTTACTTATTTTGAAATTAAGACAATATGGTTTTCATTTTAATCTTTTGTCATGGTTTAGAGATTTTTTAAATGGCAGGCAGCATAGAGTTGTTATTGAAGACGAGACATCGGGTTGGCTTCCGGTCAAATCCGGTGTCCCTCAAGGCTCCATCGTAAGGCCTCTTCTATTTAACCTGTATGTGAATGATAATCCCTTTATAATTAAAAACTCAAAATGTCTTATGTTTGCAGATGATTTAAAAATTTTCAAAAAAGTGGAAAACTTAGATGACGCTGACAAGCTTCAAGGAAACCTAGACAAACTGTGTTCTTGGTCGCAATTATGGGGTATAGTGTTGAATCCTCAGAAGTGCAATACCATAACCATCACTTTAAATAAAAACAAAATTAAATATATTTATTTAGTTGACGACATTCCAATTAATAAGGTGCAGCATCATCGTGATCTCGGTATTATTTCAGATTGTTCTCTCACATTTTCTTTTCATGTTGAAAGTCTTCTTAAGAAGTGCAATATTCTGCTTGGGCTGATGTGGCGCAATTGTAAATACTGTACTGGATACCCATTCTAAGATTCATCTCTACCTCACACTTATTCAAACTAATTTAGAATTATGTTCTATTATTTTTAATTCATTCTCAAAAACTCAGGCCTCGCGCATTGGGCGGCTTCATTCCAGGTTTTTGCGCTACATCAGCCACAACCAGACCATTGAGAATAATTTAAACAATGACATTAAAAATACTTGCAACAACGATTATCACCTTTCTATACTTTCACCTCTGTCCCGCAGATATCTTAAAGATCTTATTTTTCTATTTAAATGTATGCATTCCATTTGTGATTGTGATTTAGTTTCTTGTTTTGGCCTCCGTGTTCCTGTTCGTAATTTAAGAAATAACAATGTTCTTAATATTCCTTTTAGTAGAGTTAATGTTTGAAAAAAAAGGGTTTATTAGTAGATTAAGTATATCTTATAATAACTTAGTTCAGGCCTATCCCAATATTGATATTTTTAATTCTGACTTGCCTATTTTCGTCGTACTATCTTGGATGTGATTAGTTAAGTGTTTTCTGTTTCCTGTCTTGTGTACCATTCTGTAAGTGTCGGATTTGTGTCTGCTGTTGATTTGGTTTGGTTAATAAATAAATATAATTATAATAATATGTAGGCCTATGTAATTCAGTGCAATATTAGATATGATCATAGCCCCATAACCAGGGTGGAGTTTGGCCTCTCACCTTTTTTATCAAAAAAATCAGATAAATGCAACAATCTTCTCATTTTGCATAAAAAGCAAAATCCATTTAAAACTATAGGCGTGGGAGACTACCCCATTCAGACTAGCTTCGCATTGCGATCGGTTGTAGCAGTTGCGACACCCAATCGCACCCAATCACAAAGTAAAATTGTGTCTGAAAGCTCAGCAATAGTAGTCGATAAGTAATCAATTTCGCAATTGTTACCCATTGCGATTGGGTGCTACAATCTTTATTACTCCGAGAATACCACGGAATCCGATCGCAACGGATTCCACAGGCACTGATTGGCTGAGGTCAAACAAAACAGGACGACCTATATCGTTACTAGTGATGTAAAGTATCAAAGTAAAAAGGTGTCTGGATGCTGTCGAAGTTTGCGAATGGTTGCTAACAATTTGGATTACAACTGTTTACAACCGATTACATCGCAACCGGTCGCAATGCAAAGTCTAGTCTGAATATGGTATTACTTACATCCTGGTTAGTTTACTGTACTGTCATGGATTGAATTTACTATCAATTAGAAAGCTTCAGCTAATAAAGAAAATCACAGCTTGTCTTGTCATTCGGACACCAACATTTTATCATATCACTCCTATACTCACTTTTTGAATCTAGACCTTTCATATAATTTAACCTTTACAAGTCAATTTATACTATACATTATACTGTATACACTGGAAATTCAATAAATTGTATAGTTACAGGCCTACATTATCGAAGAGTTGTATGTTGGCCTCGAAATAGCTTTGGGGTCCAGGATTTTGGGATTTGCTGCCACCCTCAAACCCCCAACAGGTTCCTAAAGCCAGGCACTCACTACATCTAAATTAAGTAACAGATGTAAGAAGGTTTATAAAGTTAAACATGTGTGACTGACCAGGGCAGCTATATAATTTTTGCAGATTAAGAGATTCTAAATCAATCGGGCAAAATCACTGGTGATGCCGACCATTAACCCACTACTTACCAGCCCTCTTATGAATCTCATTCTCTGGAGTTGTTATGAAATGATACATATATGAACATATGAAAGTAAATTAAGTTTTTACTAGACAAAAGCACCACTGAAATTTGATAGTCATTATCATCATCATCAGAATTTTTCCATATTAAATGCGGAGACATTGGCAGATCCAGGAATTTGAAATAGAGAGAAAGGACATTCACTGATGGATGGAGGGTGACTGTAGAAAATAAAATTTATGATTATGGTACCATATCTCTAGATGGCTGGAAATGGCACGCAATATATATTTTTTTTTTCCCTTTATTATTTTAAAAATTATTTTGGAAAGATTAAGATTGGGGCCTGGACCCTGGTGGGGCTGAGGTGCAAAACATTGAGAATATGAACTTCAAGTTACCTGGAAATTGTACTCTCTTATTTAGAAATCTTACCAGTACTATGTTCATAAATGAAAAAAATAAAATATCAACAACACAACAGTTAGTAATTAATACCCCTACAAGGTCCCACATTACTCCAATTCTGCACTGGTTACCAGTAAAAGCAAGGATTTAGTTTAAAATTCTGCTTTTAACAATTAAGTGTATACATGGCTTTGCCACAAAGTATATGACCGACCTCATAACGATTAGGGAACGACAGGAGCATAAGCTTATATCTTCAAAGAAGTTCAAATTATAGTACCCAAAGGAAGAATTCTGTCAATGCTAGGTGATCGGGCTCTTCAACTTGCTTCAGCTGCTGCAAAGCTATCATATGGAATAACTTGCCCCCAATAATTAACACCGAAACGTCCATACACTCCTTTAAAATCAAACTTAAAACATTCTTACTTAGACAAGCCTTTAATAAATAAGATGGGTCTGCTCAGTTGCATTTGCAGATATTTGGAATATTGTTTTTGTTTTGTTTTTTTTTTTACTTTCAGTGCTGTTGATCGTGAAATGTCTGTATGTTTTCTGATGTATTCTTTATTGATGAATTTTATTGGAATATTGTAAATGTGTTTTTTTCTGAATTTTAACTATTTTAATTGTAAAATGTGTATTGTAGTTTTGGCATATTTTAATGATTTCTTTGTGATGCGAACAATTTTTATTGAATGAGGCGCAATATAAATAAAATACTGTACATTATTATTATTATTTTATTATTTTCCTTGATACAACTTAGGGGGTGTGATTGCACCATCTGCATCCGGCCCAGTAGCTGGTCATATGTTATAAAGATGTCCTTTTTTTTTAATACGCATTCTTATATGACTTGTGCTTTTCAATATGACTAGATGCTAATTCATATATTTGTATGTATATTGAGAAGGGATTTATTCTTTGACTTACCTATTGTATTTTATGCCTTGTCCTTTTTATCCATTTTAATTCTATCTAATAATATACAATACATTCAGTACCACTTTATCTCATGTATGATTAATATTTATATTATTACGGTTGCATTATATTAATAAGATTAAATATTTGTTTTTATTATTGTAAAGATTTTGTAATCAATATTTTGAAATATTTTATATTCTATAATGTTGAATCTCAATGTCTTTCTTAATGAAAGATGATGAATAAAATATTACTGTACATATCAGTTGATTGTTGCCGAAATGTGTGGTTTATGACTCCAGCAAGAACTGTGAACACTTCTACTGATGTAGTGAGTTTTAACCAGATTGTTGAAGGAGGTCTTTCAGTAAGTATTTTTTCAGGATCACACCATGAAGAAACAGACAACAAAGAAACAGTACCTGTATGTATTTATTAGTTTACTCTGGGTCATGATAATATGGTTTACAGGTTTGAGGAAGTAGCATTCCCTTTGTTAATGAGGTAGTTTTAAATTTTCTGCTGTACATGCAGTGACGTATCTAGGGGTTGTGCAGGGCCCCAGTCGTTCCTTGTTGAAAAAAATCAATCTAAATTCAAAAGCAACACTTCATATTTATTTTGCGATCTACCTCCCCCTCACTTGATTATCGAGTCCTGCTCCATCAACGCTTTCCCCATCATTCCTGATTCCAATACTCGTATATAAATGCCATTGTACATGTATGAATTCTCTTAATAAATTTGCAACATCTTCAATCTCGCTATTAAATTGGAGACAGAAAATGTTTGTTTTATTGTTTATTTATTTGGGTCATTCCGTGCCCAACAAATTTTCAGAAAATCATGGCAGGTACCGTCTCAGATTTTCTTGAAACTCGGATATAATGTGCACCAACATGTCTGACGAACAAACCCAAAATTTGACTTGCCAATTCCAAGTCGTTTAGAAGTTACGGCCATTTGAAATTTTAGGGTCATACCCCTTTTTAGCTATCAATTATGACATATTTGTAAAGTTGCATTTTCAATTAGCCAAATCTTCAATCTTCAAATAGAATAAAGACAATTAACTGAAAATTGATATCTAGGCTAACTTTTGGCTGTAGAACAGGAATATGACATGACTTTTGGTATACCGGACCCCGTTACGAAAATATTGGTTCGTAAACACCCTAACTTATTTGGTTGTGTAATTTTTCTTCCATTTTTAGACCCCATTAAAATACCCAAATCAGTTATTAAATGGGTCTTATGCGACAAGTTCTTAATATATAGTTGGAAATGTTTCACCACAAAAAATTCCGGATTTTTAACTTATCATTTTAGGGGGTAATCGTAGGTCAAAAGATCATTCGGGACAAAAAATGCACAAAAATGCCTCATTTTCATGGTGACCTTTGACCCTGTTGGCAAGTACGCTTGTTTTTAAAACTTGCACCATTAATTAATTTACATATGATGATCAGATGTTCCAAGTATCAGCTTGGTGTCTTTATCCCTTCATGTTTAAAAAGCGATTTGAAAAGGGGTATATTTTTCAATTTGCGACAGTATCAGTGCCTAAATGTGATAAAATTTATTTTTGAATAACGATAATATTAAAAATAATCTGCCTAGACCCTTGAAACTTATAATTCCAAAACAACTTTATGTGCTTATTTCAGGCATGCAGTTCGTTAAGGGATATAGTGTTTCATTAGTAAGATATGTCCCCCCAAAAATGGCCCAAGTGCAAGAATTGCACAATAAAATTGTATTTACTGTTGATTTCAAATGAGCATAATATTATCCGTGTACTGTCTATAGCCGTGAAACCTTTCATTCTAGGACAACTTTTTGTGCTTATTTCAGTTATGCAGTCTGTTAAAGGGATAAATTGTTTAATTAGTAAGATATTATGCCCCAAAAATGGCCCAAGTGCAAGCATTGTGCAATAAAATTGTGTTACGATTGATTTCAAATGACCATAATATTATCTGTGAACGGTCTAGAGGCATGAAACCTTTCATTCTAAGACAACTATTTGTGCTGATTGCAGTTATGCAGTTTGTTAAAGGGATGCACTGTTTAATTAGTAAGATATTTTGCCCCAAAAATGGCCCAAGCGCAAAATTGCACTATAACATTGTGCGACTATTTTGATATTTAAAATGAGTATAACATTAACAATGTACAGTTCAGAACCATGTAACCTTATATTCTAGTACATATTTGTACACTTATTTAATTTGTTAAGGGATACAGTCTTTTATCTTACTAACTAATAGTTAGTAAGATAGTTTGCCCCAAAAATGGCCCAAGTGCAACAATCGAGCAATAACAT